TTTTCCAATCCCCATTTCTTTCTCCCTTTTATTTAATCGCTTTTGATGGTTAGATTAGGGACATTTTCAATTAGCATACCTTATGCTTGCATGTTTGCATCATTCATTTGTCTTGCATGCACCGAGGCTCAACGCATCATTCAAACTGCATCATCATTTCTATATCTTCTTTGAATACGTGTTTCAAAGCATGTTATCAAATTATATCATATGCCATGATTAGGTAGCCGAGCCTATCTTATTGCATGTGTTGCATTAGGCATCTTGTATAGTTAGAGACATGCGTTTTTCTAACTAGTTTTTGTTTTGGCTTGGAGTACTCGGTAAGTTTTATGTTTTAGCATACTTGCATGAGTGTGATTGCCATATTTCCATGATTCGCATGCTTGCCATGAGGCTATGTGCTTATTTGCTAAATTGCATGAATGCTTGTGGATGAAGGCTTGTTGTTTGAATTGGAATAATTCAATGATTGTAAGTTTTAAGCCCACTCTGTTGAGTGGAAACATCATGTTTTAAGCCCACTTGAAGTGGCAAATCCGCATCTTTTAAGCCCACTTGAGGGTAGCAACTTCAAACCATTTTCGCAAACAAACATGAATTGAATTGTTTCAATTCTTGCGATTTTAGTCTATACTTGCTTGTGTGTGTCACATAGTAAAGTTAGCTAATAACCGGAATAAGAACACATGATATTTATAAAACAACATATCATGATAATAGAGGCCAATCTTTGATCAGGTGAGCGGGGGTGCTCATTTCAGGACCTTTCCTTCTCGTACACAAGTTCCTAAGCCAAGGCAACTTTGGTGATGATGGACACGTGGCCTTTAGCCCGAGTCAGGGTTTCCTAAATTTCCCCAAAATAAAATATTTAGGTGGTGACTCTGTAATCTGTCAAAGCAGTCCAATTTTGGCATTATTTGATTCAAAATCGATTTTTCAAAAAGATTTTCCGGATTGGACTCTTTGGTGTTTATCAGTTTCACATTGCACTTTGTGAGATTAGATTCAGAACTGTGACGGGAGTCTGAACTGTCACTATAACAAAACTAACTATTTACGGCTTTAAGTTTACGGCATACATCAAATGTATGTCGTAATTAGTACATTTTACAACAATTTTTTTTTCAAGCCGTTAATGTTTTTTCAATAACGACATACATACCATGTAAGTCGTTAATTCATATATTTATGGCATACAAAAGTATGTCGTAAAAAAATGTATATTTTCACGACTTACAAAAATATGTCGTAAATATTTGCACTTAAGACGACATACATTTCATATTGTAAAATATTATAACTTTACACGGCATGCATTAACATGTCATGAAAACTTCTTAAAAAAAATATATATTCAATCTATTTTTTTATGGCATGCAAAAGTATGCCATAAAAAATGTATATTTTCATGGCATATAAAAATATATCGTAAAATATTTGCACTTAAGACGACATACATTCGATGTTGTAAAATATTAAAACTTTATACGACATACATTAACATGTCGTGAAAACATCTATTAAAAAAAAAATTCAATCCAATTTTTTTTAATATAAAAAACTAACAATTTCCAACCAAGCTTCTCACCTTAAATTTTTCTAATTGAGGACAATGTAAAAAATATTTTGGCTCTAATTTTTTTTAAAACTTATTTGAGTATATTTATAATTTTATAAAAAAATCCAACTTTAACTACTCTAAATCATTGGTTTGATTAGGGTTCAAGGCAACGAGAAGACTTTCCCATATCAAAAATTGATTTTCTATGTCAATATGTGATTTCTCTCTCTCTCTCTCTCTCTCTCTCTCTCTCTCTCTCTCGCTCTCGATCTCGCATCCTCTCTCTGTGTTCTCAATCGATCATTCCTTCAATTAATCAATCAATCAATCGATCCATCGAATGGTGGAGGAGAGTTTCAAATACATGATTCTGATCATTGACATCTCCATTGTGAGTATTTTTCATCTTTGTTTGCTCTATTGTTTAATTATTGATTCACAATTTGATTGTATCTTTAGCTATGTACTTTTCTTGTTGTTAAAAATCTGAATTTGAAACACGAGTGTGGTCTATCTGTTTATTGCCTGACTTGTCCATGGAGTTGAAAGAAAGCTATAGTTCCACCATTGTTGTAAATGAGCTATATAGTTCCACCGTTTGTGAAGAGACAAAAAACAACAACTTAGCAGTGAAAGTTTTTCAGATAGTTGTGTTTGTTGACTTGGGAGTTCCAAGAATTTGATGGTGAAATGGTGTAGTCTTGCAATCGCAATATATATACAGACATATATGTATATATATGTGTGTGTGTGTGTGTGTGTGTGTTCTACCTTCTGAAACACCAAGTATGTTTTCTTCCTTCTTGTTCTCTTGTATGTTCCTCCTTGTTTTCTTCCTCTTTGTGAAAATTTTTGTCTACCATGTGTTTGATTATATGCTCAAATGAGAAATTCATCAAAGTTTCACTTTCTGATGTCTCTATGCTTTTTCTGCTTTCTTTTTTTTTTTTTTTTGGTTAATAGATGTGTTACTTTTGATTGTATCAGCATATTTGTGAAATCATTGCATTGTAGGAGCTACTTATATGAGACTTATTATTTATGTGTTTTAATTTGAGCAATACCAGGCCATATATTTGTTTATATTTGTTTGAGAAGAAAAATGAAAATTTTGGGTTCTAACTTGAGCTGGGTTTTGAAAACTATATTAAACACATACACATCCAATTTTCAACATCACTGAAACAAAGATAATAATTCTCAAGTTATGAAAAATCTTATGTCAGTGAATTTTTTTGTATGGTTATAAATGCCACTGTTGAACCTTTTTCTCCAACAGTTTGCAGACGATGCAAACTTCCAAGCTGAGTGGGAATCAGCCAAGATGGCTAACAAGCAGCGATTAGCTCAGTTCATATTTTAAGTGATAGGTGTAAGCATTGACCCAAATAGCCTCTTTGACATACAAGTCAAGCGGATCCATGAATATAAAAGACAGCTACTAAATATTCTGGCTGCGGTCTATAGGTACAAGAAGTTAAAGGTATCATAAACTTCTTTGTGTCCAAACTATTAATCATGTAAAAAAAATTATTCAAAAGTAAAAAAAAAAATATTTAAAAACTTACGCCACACTCCCTCTCATTTTAGATCCATACATGTTTTTGTCCCAAATTGTCTCATTCTCTAGAGAAATTATATTTTAATTATAAATAATAAAAAAAAATCTAGACGTTCTTAAATATTTATAAATTTCTAGTAGATATGACAAATTTTTATTTTTTTTCCAATGAACTAGATATTCTAGTTAAACGGTTAGATATTGAGAAAATCCTATTGGTATTTGGCGATTGTGTTATGCTTCAGACAAACATATACTAAAAATATATAGAATTGGAGATTAAAGTTGCTAACTTTGTTTATGCTTCCCCATCTAAAACATAATTTCTCATGAATATGAAGCATGGCATAATGTAGATAATATAATGCTCTCTTCTTTTTCTTTTTCTTTTTTCTTTTTTTTCTTTTTTCCTTTCCTTTCTTTTTCTCTCTATAATTGCATAGGCCAACACTAGAAGAACCCTAATCCCAGCCATAGACTCTTGTCTACCCTTCGGAATGGCCACTGGTCAGGAAAGATCAGTTAGTGCGAATGTAAAAGACATTGTAGTACCACACTGACCTTAATACTATTGTTAATATCGGGAGGTGGGCTGTAATTGCGAACCTTATGCATAAAAATTGAAATAAATAGATCAGAACAATAAATTGCCAATTGATAAATTTCATGAACAGCACAATAACAGTTGCAAACTGGAAGAAAAGACGCAACTAAAAGACGCTGAGTGATTAACAAGACCCTAATTATCCAAACAAATTAATAGGAAACAATTATCATAAACTAGATGAAATACAAATTTTGAACTGATCAGCGCATGACTTGTGCACAAGTCAATGCATCCAACCAGAGACATAAATGATGAATAACACAACCTGCTAAAGGCACAGTACTTTATGCATGTAACATAGGAAACACTTTAGCATAGGTCAGATTAAGTTAGTAAGTACAATTAATTATTATTTATGCCTCTAAGAGAAGGAAAGAGAGATTATACTATAGTAAGGGATCACAAGTTACAAAAAACTCAACTCAACTAGGCTTTTATCAACTCATTGAGGTCAACAAGATAATACCTTCCTTTTCATTTAGTTACTTTGAAAAGCCCATTTCAAAATTGTAACTAAAAGAGAGAGGGATTTGTTTAACATCAATTCATATTAAAGATAGAGATGGTGGCGACACAATGATGAAGTCTTACATCAGCACAGTACAGAGCCCATTATAAAGCTCAGAGAGCCCATTATAAAGCTCAGAGAATTACGAGAAAAAGCCTACACTATAAATAAACAATAGTTGAAGCTATAGACCTAGGAAGACTTGGAAGGGTGACAGATTAACTCAAAAGTCCAAACTATCAAATTCCAAAAACATAAAAAAATAAAAATAAAAAGGAATTAACATTTAGATGTTAAAAATTCCATGACTGTGAGCTGCCTCCAACACTGTCTTGTATGGTTTGCAAAGCAATGGGGGTTAGATGGAACACTAATGGAATTCAGTTATCGCGTTTTGCGGTATTGATTCTTATTTTGGAAATTCAAGGGTGTTGATCTCTTAATCCTGAAGGTCATTTGTGCTTTGACATTGTTGTTGAATTCCTATAATTGCATTTGATGATTGAAGGTTGTCCATTTTAAATGTGTTAGAATACCTATTTCTATATTATTAGGGAACTATTGCTAGAATACCAGGGACTCTGTTTGAACATTAATATTAGACCAACATCTTTATGACTGGGTCTTTTGAATTTGGATATAGTGCCTCGCTACAGGGAACTTTGTGAATGTGTCATCATCATCCATCACTTCGTGTTGGACATCCACAATTTGCAGAATCTCATTATGACTTATAAGGTGAGATCTCTCTCTTTATTTATTTATTTTTTGTGAATTCTAATTAGAAAAGTTTTGGATAAATTTCTTTCTTGTAATCTTCCTGAAAGCCCTTGTAAGTTTTTATACCACTCAATGAATGCAAAGCTTCATACCCAGGTTACATGCTTTAGCTATGTTACCTCAAATATGGAATTCTCTATGTTATATATTTGTGGCCTTGTGTGATGACATAATTTTGTGGATTGATTTGATGGCTCTTCTTTTCTCAGTTTTCTCTCATTCCTTCTGAAAATCATGTATTATGCTTATTTTCCATTAAGTTAGTGATGCTTTCATCCTTTCATCTATACCTCATTCTTTTAGTTGCAGTTCACAGAATTAAGATTTTCCTCCTTTGCTTCAGTTGCTTCAGCTGCTTTTGCAAATTAATTGGATTTTGACTCGAAGACCATATGAATGCATGTGGTACAAAGATATGACCAATTAACAATATTATTTTTTCAGTAAAGAGACTCAACTTGATATTCTCCATAATTTATGCTGCTAGTTTTTTGCAGAGTATAACTCAAAGCTGCTGGAGTCCACTAATTACATTACCAGGTGACAAGCTGTCAAGGTAATGAAAGTTTGAGATTTTGTTCAAAAATATGTAAATAATTAAAAATAAAAATAAAAAATAGACATCTCAATATTATCCTAGGGAATACAATTTTGTCTCTAAAATTGTACCCTTCATGGATGATAGGGATTTGTATAGCTTGATGATGTATCACTTTCTTGGTTCGTATGTTTGAGGTTGTTATCAGCTTGTTTAAGGTCGTATTTTAGAGATTAGTGAATCTTATGATTTGGATATTTTTCTTGGTTTGTATGTTTGAGGTTGTTTTCAGCTTGATACGATAGAAGTTGAGGATGGAAGTTAGTATGCAGGTTGTTTGGTGTATGGATATTAGATTTTTTTTACTTACTTCATAGTTGTTGCTTCTGCTTGGTTTGTTCATAGGTTGCATTTTATAAGCTATTGTCTGCATACTGTTAGGCAATATTATATTCCTGTATATATATATATATGTATTATATTTTAAAAATAACCTTCTACGGCATATAAAATTATATCATAAAAAGTGTAACGATTTATGACATGCAAGAAAATGCCGTAAAAGATTATATACGGCAAACAAAGTATGTCATAAATATATTAAAAATGACCTTCTACGGCATACAAAATTATGTCGTGAAAAGTGTAATGATTTATGACATGCAAGAAAATGTCGTAAAATATTATATACGGCATACAAAGTATGCTATAAATATATTAAAATAACCATCTACGGCTTGCAAAATTATGCCATGGAAAGTATGATGATTTATGGCATGAGAAAAATGTCGTAAAAAATTATGTACGACATACAAAGTATGTCATTAATATTTAATTTATTAGTTTTTACAACTTCACTTGCATGCCGTAAATAACGCTTAACTTTCCACAGCATGTCATATAACAGCATTTGTGTGCATGCCGTGAAAGAGTTTTTATGGCATGCATTGCAAGCCGTAAAAATTCAATTTTATTGTAGTGTGTAGGACTAATTTGAGCTCTCCGAAAGGGGGCGCGAAAAAGTCGAGCTACAGGTAGGCCTGGACGCCGACTACTTCTGAGTGGAGGGTGACTATGCAGTCTTCATCCAGACATATTTGATGCCGCTTCTGACTGGCATTCATGGAGATGAGGAGGCAAGAGCTTCTGTTGTGAGAGAAAGTCCTAGAGTGACCCGGGCGAGTAGGGCTTGTGGCAGAGGGGCTTCTTGGGCGAGGCAGAGGACTGATTGGCTAGAGCTTCCTACCACGCTGACTTGCTGGCGACACACTGGGGACGCCTACCAGGTTCTGATTGAGCCTGCGGCGGCTGGTCACGAGCTTGTCGGGGTCCGAGGCTCGACTTAGGTATGAACCACACTTTACATTTGCACACCACATTTCATTTCAGATATGTTCATTTGCAGATACTAATCATTCAAACTACATTTACAAGCATCCATCGAGTATACAGGAGGCGCTCTCGAGCTAATAACCTCCCTGATGGGGATGGTACAGAGGAGAGAGGCGCTGCTCAGCCTCTATGGTATTCAGGTAATTTCTTCAATTTTACATTCCATGCATCAAATTTCCACTGACCCACTGACATTGACATTTCAACTGAAAAACTTCCCAAACTACATTGATACACTGCATCTGATACACTACATTCACACACTGTACTTACATACTGTACTCATATACTGTATCTGACTTCTACATACACTCATTCTGCACATCATGCTTGCATCTAATATATATACCGTAACTGATATGTGACAACTATTTTTTCAGATTCCACCCATATTGATAACACTGGTGACAGCTGCAGCACCTGCACCGGCAGTACCTCCTTCGGCAGTAGGGAGGAAGAGAGACAGACTCCAACATGTAGCCGAGGTAGGGCTAGGGGCATCCGAGCCGAGAGCGGTCCTTCAGAGCCCATTTTGAGTGATGATGATGCAGAGACGAGCGACTTTGAGGAGGGAGCGAGTCAGCATTCAGAGTCATCTGAGAGTGGAGATGATGATGCCGAGGAGGGCACTGGAGCAAAGAGTGGAGATGATGCCGGCTCGGCTTCTGGTTCAGATTCAGATAGCGACGCTGACAGAGACAGTGCCCCAGAGTCTTCTCCTCTGAGAAGGAGGACGAAGAGGGCATCTTGAGCTTGAGACGACTAGCGCTGATTTTTGTATTTTTTCTTAGTTTCTTTTCTTTTATAGCATTAGCACATTGTAGCCTCAGACAAGTTTTATTTGCTTTAAAAACTTGTACTCAACTTTTGTAAAAACAACCATGATCGGAATGAAAACAGTTTTTATGAAAAAGTGTTGCATTTTGCATCATGAACACCATATAGCATGAAATGGACATGGAATTGAATTGGCCAAGAGCACCCTTGATTGAAACAAAAAAATTAATCGGGTAATGAACCGACCAACAAATGAAAAACAAACAAAGCAATATACAACTTGACAAACAAAACAACATACAACTCGATAAACAAAACAAGACAACACAACTACAACTCGGTAAACAAAACAAAACAACACAGATACAAACTCAACGAACTTGCTAAAAACCAAAAGCACTCAAGACAAGACCTCAAGACACTCGAAGACTAAAACAAAACACATGCTTTCAACATTCTATAGCACAAAAAAGGACAACAAGTTAGAGTGAGAGACTACTGGCCACAAACAGAGGTTGCTGGCCATGAGAGATGGTCAGCCGGCCACCAATGTACTTTATTGGCCACAAATGGGGCTTACCGGCTACCGGCCGGCCACCTGTTGGCCATCAATGTGAAGGACCTCCAGACTGTTGACACTTGGCTTCCACCCACTGCCTTATCTTTTACAAAAGGTTGAGCTACGTGATTTCTTTATTTCAGCTACAAATTCTTCACAAATTGAGCCATTTTTCGTCGAAAAACTCTCGGATTGAATTACAACTTTAGATGGCTCGGAAAAGGTGAATTTCTGGGGTTTTGGCATAAATGCACTTTTCCTACTGAGCCGTTCTCTGCTTTGTTTTTTGTTCCTTCATGCTGCAGCTAGATGCTGGAACCCGATTACACATGTCTTTAGCTTCAGGGGACAAGAGATATGCCCAACAATCAAAGAATTTCAGGCGTTAATGGAATCTCGACGCGATGAGGAAATCATACCTCAGCCTTATTTCGGCCACATCCAAGCTTTGGGACGGATGTGTGGACTCACTCTTTATGAGGCTCAATCTTTGGTTCACAATGGAGAGCTTGATATTCCCAGTTTGATTCATTGATTTTCTGACGTTGGTGACCGCAGCGACCTTCTTTGGCGGGGTTTTCAGCAACACACCCTTTGCTTGTTTATGCTAGCACATTTCCTTCTTTCCCCTAGTTTTGGCAGATCTAGCATTCGGCTAGTTGAAGTGGTCCAAGGTTTGAAAGAGGGCAAGAGTTGCATCGTCTTGGTGCTGGCCAACACTTTGATGGGCTGAGATGCCTTTCATTGGCGAGAGATTACCAAATTCACAGGGAGTCCACTACTCCTTCAGGTAATGTTTTCCACTCTTTCTAATATGTGTTTCTCACATCTCTCGATACTCATGCTCTATTTTTCTCTCAAAGCCCGTTTCTCATTTTTCTCTCAACGTACATCTCTCTATTCTTTAGTCTCTCTTTTCTTTCATCCCTCTCTAGGTGTGGCTTATGGACAAGCTAAAGGTAGTGGACTCTTTCTCCGTATACTCAGCTCGAGCATATTTTTTCTGCCAACAACTAGTGGATTTTCCGAATGAGGGATGGTGGTGCCATTGGATGTGCAACAGGTCTGTTGCTGACATTGCTTGGAGTTGCCCCTGGCTTAATCTGACCAAAATGAGCTACAACATGACTCAACACCCTGGCATTCATTTGATCGGCCTGACATACTGTGTATTCTACTTTCTGTTCCGGTTCAAGCATCAGTTTGGACATGATCAGACTTGCCCAGAGGAGGGGGTAGAGTACCTGGTTTCATTCCCCATCTGAGGTTCACATTTGGCTAGGTACCTCACTGCTTGGAGGACAAGAGAGCTTCTGGCTCCTGCCCCTAGTTTTACCTTCGCCCTTTCTGGCGAGTGCCTGACTTGACTCGAGGATCAAGCACAAACCGGGCCCATCTTAGCATCAAAAGCTTTCACAAGAACAAGCGGGGGACGCAGGAGCACCTGACTCATCTATGCCCCTAGTTTATTGTTTTGATCTTAGCTTTCAAGCTTTATGAATGTAATGAAAACAACTTTGATTTATATCGAGAGTTGGAGAACTTTGTATTGAAATCAATGAAATTAAAGTTGTGAGCACTGAAAGTTTTCCTTTTGGTCCAAAAATGGTCTAAGTTGTAAAAGGTAAAATTTGAACAAAATCCACTTTTATCAAAAATTTTCAAAACCATCTTCGATAAAGATCACCACTTAACATGCACGGAATCAATCCTTGAGATGTACAACCCCAAATCCAAAGACCATAGTTTGCCCCTTGATTGAATAACACTGCTCAACACTGTAACCACCTCTTCTCTCAAGGTAAAGATCACAACCGAACTTTCAAATAAAGAACAAACAAAGATGACCTGATCAGACACATGGACAAGACAGTTGAGTTAGAGGTGTTTACGGCTGGACTTCAAGATGAAGTTGCTTACATATCCCGAAGATGGGAATTAGGCCTTACGTAATTCGGTTCGGGTTTACTCGAGTATTAACACTCTCCTTTTGCACTCTAACTTTTGCCAAGGCCGCCCTTTAGGATTTTCAATCTTGTGAGCTCAATTTTTCTTTATTTCTAATTTTTTGTACTCTAACTTTTGCCTAGGTCGCCCTTCCGGATTTTCGCCCTAGCGAGCCTCTCATCGATAGTATTTCTTCATCTTGTCCATATTGATCGGTTGGGAAAATTCTAGGCGATCCAGGTCCATGAGAATAACGGCTCCACCCGACCAAATGGTTTTGATGATGTAAGGACCAGTCCAATTAGGTTTGAACTTGCCCCTAGGGTCATAGACAGGAGCTCGGTTGTCTTTTAGCACCAAATACCCTTCTTTGAGATTTCAGGACTTAACCTTCTTGTTAAAAGCCCAAGTAATCCTGCGTTGATAATCCTGAACATGGTACAATGCTTTCAGCCTTCCCTTATAAAATATCATCAGTTCTTCGAACCTGCTCTGCTACCAGTCTGCCTCTACTATCTGACACTCAGCTATACCCGCAACGACGGAACTTCTATTTCGATTGGAAGAACAGCTTCCATCCCATAGACAAGAGAGTAAGGAGTTTCCCATGTAGACGTCCAGATCGAAGTTCTATATCCTAGAGTGCGAATGGCAATTTATTTGGCCAGTCCCTGTAAGTCTCAACCATTTTTTGCAAAATATGCTTGATGTTCTTGTTGGCGGCCTCGACAGCTCCGTTGGTTTGCGATCGGTATGTAGATAACTTATGGAAAGCCATGTTATATTTCTTCAACAAGTCAATCACTTCTTTCTTGAAATGGGAACCATTATCTGAAATGATCTTGTTTGGGACTCCATATCAACAAATGATGTTGTTCCAGATGAACTTTGCCACATGCGCTGCTTTTAACACTGCGTAGGACTGAGCTTCCACCCACTTCGTGAAGTAATCAATTGCCACCAGAATGTGTTCATGCCCATTCGACCCTTTCAGTGTGACTGCGCCGATGACGTCGATTCCCCACACAGAGAAAGGCAATGGTGAAGTCACGTTGTACAGCTTCGACGTGGTGTTCATGCGATTCGCATGAATTTGGCATTTATGGCATTGACGAACAAAACTAATACAATCCTCCTCCATAGTAGACCAGTAGTAACCTTGCTTGAGAATCTTCTGGGCTAACATTACCCCGTTCATGTGTGCTCTGCACTCTTCCCCAAGGATGGCCTCGATTAGGCGCTTTGATTGTTCCGCTTCAACACACAACTTGTGCATTCCTAGATGACCTCTCTTGTACAGTTTACCCCCGCAGATGATAAATTGAACGGCCATTCGCCGTATTTTCCTTTTGTCTTAGGTATTTGCCCCTGGTGGATAAACCTCATTTTCCAAGAAGTTCCAGATATCATAGAACCACGGGTTTTGATCTTGTTCTTCATCTATTGTGGCGATAGTCTCGTAAAATGGCGATACCTCTGCTCAATGATGATTGGATGCATCCGAACTCCAAGTGGGATGTCTATTATAGAAGATAGAATTGATAAGGCGTCAGCGAATGTGTTGGTCTCTCTTAATAGATGCGTGAAAGTCAGCTTTTTAAACCTAGGAATCAGAACATCAAGGGTCTGGTGATAAATTTTCATCTTTTCTTCTTTGACCTT